TCGTTTTTAACTTGGCAACTCTACAAGCAGCTTTTTGCTGTACACATCCGATGCCTCTGGCCATTCAGTTTCCAGATTGGTGAAATCTAAGTGAGACTGCTGTGTGGTAGCCCCACTGCACTTGTCCCTTTCATCGACCTGTTTCATCTTTACATAAACCTGGATTGTGAACATTCTGGGGCAGGGACTCCTTTGTGTCGTCTGATGGTCCAGGAGTCTCGATTGCAGCTACCGGGAGCTGCCATACTAGAAATAATAATTATTAGGAGCTAGCAGAGGCACATGGGTGTTCAGAATGCAGTGACTGGCGGCCAACTGTTACTGTGGGGGTGAAATGAGAATAACGCTTGGGCAGCTGTCTCTGTGTAAATGTCATTGGGGATGTGAGGGGGGAGGAGGGTGATGTGCTGCCTTGTGGAGAAGAGGATTCAGTCCCCGATATGCAGCGTGCCCGCAAGACAACTAAGCTGGGCAGCTCAGGGAACCCACGAAGGAGAGGAGAGTTTGAGGAATATTGGCCACCTAGAAACAGAACTTCTGTAGAGTTGCGACCTCCCTCATATCAGATAGAGATGCCTTCATTTTCCCCTCCCCCCCCCCCCCCCCCCGAGAGGGGGACGTGAGCAATGGCGAGAAAATCCGCAAATGTCAGGAATCATTCAGCATCTTTACCCCTTGCCGACAAGCCTGGGAAGAACCGGAAGGGAGAGCCTTCTGAATAGCCGGTCAGCAGTTGGGTGGACCTTCGTGCTTAGAACGGGGGAGTCGAGCCTGAGTCATGCCGGCCCCCTTAGGTTTGCAACTAGGCCAGTTCACATGGACATTATAAATAGAATGCAACAGTCTGGGGTTATTTTTACAGCCGGAACAGCCATAGAAATATAGGGTGAATTTACTATGTGCTGGTTACCTGACCTGAAGGCACCAGCTGTTGGGGATTTTTGCAGAGCTGTGAACGAAGCATTGGCCATGCAAGCTGCCCCCTCACGGATCTACCCTGGCTTGGTAGGACCAATTTTAGCAGTGAGAACGGGAGATCCGTCTCCATGGAGCTTTTCAGACTACAGAGACAGTCAGCATGGGTGCCGACAGTCGTGGTCTCTGTTGGTCGGCACAAGTGTCCACTTGGAATTTGACTCAAGTTCACCCACCAAACTCACTACCCCGCAACCAGCCATCAGCTTGCAGTGACTCAGTCGCGATTGACTTTGGGGGGGGATTTGAACCAGCAAATCAAGAAGAAATTTAAGAAAGGGTGATTGCAAAAAAGAAGGGTGACATTTGCACCCCTAGGGCTCCACTTTAAAACCCTGACTTTATAGCAATCGGAATTGAAAACCAAGGGAAGGGGGGGGGGCGTTATTAAATGTTGATGTTTCTTTCTCTGTATTTCGCTGCTGTGAGTCTGTCACAAATGCCTGGAGCAGCACAGAGATGGGTTTTTTAAAAAAATACTCTGTGTTCATTCTTGTCTTCGCTGTTTGCAACATTTTGCTGCTTGTTTAACAGTGTGGCAGCTTAACAACAAAAATGAGCCCCGTTTTGATCCCCTGACAACAAAAGTACACGTGTTTACTCTTGGCTGGTCAGTGGAAATCCATTTTCTTTATTTGGTTGATGAGGTGTGGAATTAATGTTTAAGTATGTGTTAAAACAGTCCATCTGGAATGAAAGCACCATGGAGAATTGGCAGCAGGTTGGAATAGGAAGTCATTGATGTCATATTTGGAGAATCAATCTGTAGTTGGGTAATTTTTTTTTATATTGTATACTCTTTGGGGCGGTGTCTGTCTTCATCTCATTGGAAAATATCCAGCACCATGAGAATCCTGCTGTGATTAACATAATAAAATTGGTTCCTTTTCATTCCATGAGTTGGTGGATTTATTTGCAATAGGGTCATGCATTAGAATTCGGGGTCATGGGGATTGAGTGGTATCTTCAGGCTTATAAGGGGGCCCTTGGTTTCCTGGGCCGATGGAGACAGAGGGTATGGTACAGAGAATGTATTGCTAGAGCCCTGCAAATCCACAGATATCTGCTTTATATCTGCAGGTATCCGTGGATGTGGATGCAGATATCTGCAGATGATTTTGTGGGTACGGATGCAAATGCAGATACACATTTTGTGTCTGGAGCCCTGCAATTTGTGGATGTCCACTCTATAACTGTGGGTATCCACATCCGCAGATCATTTTTGCAGATGCGGCTGCAGATACCACTTTTGTATTCGCACAGGGCTCTATGTATAGCTTTGTAGAAAGGGAACAGAGAAGAAAGTCTAAAATCCAACATTACCAACCCTTTGGGAGAATGGCACTAGTTAACCTAAGATCTCAGGTGTAGCAGACCTCCACGGACACTCCTTCTGCCATACGCTCCCTAACAGAATTTGAACTGCAGCCCAGTTTGAGATAAAAGATTTGGAGCAGTCCCGATTGTGTTGTGGATGAGAATGTGTGGATTCGAATGGGGGTTGGAAGGAGTGCCGGGACCCATCACAGAGGCAAATCATAAGGGGAAAGACAGAGTTAGCCTAGAATACCAGTTGCTGAAGCATGGAAGGACCAATAATAGTGCTATGGAAATGCAAAACAGCTGCACGTAGAGAAGCTAGATACTTAATAATCAGCAATGGGGAATGGGCAACCCTTACAACTGGATGTCAGAGGAGAGAGGGGCGCATACCCCTCCCGCACCCCGTTCTCCATTTGCAGGGGTGAACACCTGCACAAAGTGTTTCTGGGTCCCTGAGCAGAAACGTTTCTTGAATGACGTGCTCCTCTTTTGTAAACACTGGGCAGGGCTATCTAAAGCAGATAGTACTGCACTTGTGTTCACGTGTCAACATACCCGTTGGGTGGCCACCTTCGTGTGCTTTTGGGACAGCTCCATTTATGGTGTCGGTTTCCACTTCATGTGCTGTAGCATGTCCTCAGAAAGAACTGACAGCTGGTGGCCCTGACTTTTCCTCCAACATGGTCCAGTCAGTCTAGTAAGAGAAAACCAAGGTGTCACTTTGACTTTTGGGAGCAACTATAGCACCCACTTATTTGGATCCAGTGGACACATCTTGAACACCAATTTGAATATGCAGAATACATGATTCTCCACCTCTTGATATTTCCCCTGATGTTTTAAAATGAAATCCAGAACTTTGGTGGTTTAGAAAGACTCGTGGTGGTCCCTAATCTGAAATTGGAGTAATTGCTTTGGAACCCAATTAGGAGGAACCCCCAAAAATCAAACGTTTTTCTTTGTTTTTAATACTCCAAATATGTTCAGAGTTTTAGCCCTCAGGTCATATTTGATTTTAATACACATGCTAAGCAAGTCCAGTATTTAGATTGTGATGTCATCGGGCATGAATCTTGGGTAAAATTTTGAAAAACACCGAAGTGATTTAGAATGCTGGTGAGATTTAGATCATGTCTGCTACCGGTACCACAGACACACAGCTGCCGCTGTGCTACTGAAGCACTTTATTGTAAACCTTCTTACATCAATAGAAAGGGGTTTTTCATTTATGTAAATAACCTACTTTCCCAAGAGGCAGCTGTTGGATTGATAAAAGTCTTCTATCCTCCTGGCCACGCTTATACCTGAGACTAGATCCACTTAACAGCAACTCTCAAAGGGGTAGCCACATAGAATCCTAGGGCTAGAAGAGACTTCAGGAGGTCATCAAGTCCAACCCCCTACCCAAAGCAGGACCAACCCTAAATAAATCTATACCACGGAGTGATGTAGCTAGGTAAATCTAAATGTTAAGCATAGACCAGGCCTTAGGGCTCCTAAGTGCCTAAGTCTCTTTTAAAAATTAGAAGTAGATGCTTTCGAAAATGTTCCCCATTTGCCTCATGTCTGTGTCGCAAGTGCCTAGCATGCTGTTGATACTGTATAGCTAGTAATAGCTTCTGGATTGCAAGAAGGAAGATGAATCTCATTCAAACCAGCACCACAAGACTAAAGTTATGTAAATATCTTGAGCGTTTTCGTCTGTGTCCCGATTCCAATGTAAGCCCGGAGTTTACCAACCTGTGGAGGTGCTGCTTAATGTTTTATTTAAGAAACAGCTTGCAAGAAAGGTGACGTGTAGTATCTGGTCAGATTAACTTTATTTAAAGATTTGATACAGTAGGATGGTAGCAAAACCTACCTTGGGGGGGAGGGATAGCTCAGCGGTTTGAGCATTGGCCTGCTAAACCCAGGGTTGTGAGTTCAATCCTTGTGGACGCCATTTAGGGATTTGGGGCAAAAAATAGTCAGGGATGGTACTTGGTCCTGCTGTGAAGGCAGGGGACTGGACTCAATGACCTTTCAAGGTCCCTTCCAGTTATAGGAGACTCCAATATTAAAACCTAACTAAGTTGGCCATAGTCTGTTACAGAGAGAAGGGATATTTGTGAGACAGAATACATTGTTTTCTCTAATTAGGTCCCTTTGTTTCCAGTTGGTCAATATACATACATATTGCTAATAATAAATGCATACTGTTTCAGATTATTTTAATAATGCCTTTTCATGGTTGCAGGTAACTCTTTGAATGCAAGTGAAAATGAGCATCAGCTCTTTATTAATTAGTCTCACACATCGTCTAAGCTCTGAATGCCCCACCCCATGAACTCCTTGGAAGGGACTTGAAACAAATTTAGGTCTGGGGGGGTGGTTTATAATTGAAATGTTATGCATTCTTCTTCCAGACTGAGTTGAAGGGACATAAAGCCCTCTTTATACCAGCACTGAACTAGATGGCTCCATTTCTGTGCTGGTGGAGGGCGTGAAGATCTGTTGATACTTGTATGGATTGCATGTCTATGGGGGGAATTTTTTCTCAGCAAGTAACTTTAATTAAATGTGGGAACAAGAGGGGAGTCTGACTTGTATCTGTTGATACTTGCGGATCAGTCCAGTTCGTACTGCGGACGGGGCCTGTGGATTGTTTTGAAATGTGCTCTAATGTGTTTGCGCTGATGTGGTTTTCTCTCTCCTTCCCACAGGTAGAGCGAGACTTTGAAAGGGAGTATGGGAAACTTCAACAGTAAGTGTTAACCAGCTTGGGGTGGCAGGGCCAGAGAAGTCAGGGGTGGTCAGAGATCTGCTTTTCACCCAGCACAGGTTTATTGCATCTCTCCTCATGGCGCTCCTCTGATGCTCTGTTAGCAGCTCATTGGTCTCTCACTTAGTGCATTGTAATTTCGACATGTTTCTCAGAGGGTTGCAACCCACCGGAGGGCAGGGGAGGCAAGTAGGGGAGGAGGGTCCCAAGAGATTGACAGTTTTATTGCCATTCTAAAGCATAGGATGTAACATTTCCAGAATGTCTACAAGCAGGCCCAAACCAGCAAAGTTTGCAGGGTTAAATGTTGTAGAGTTAGCAGCTGTTGTATTATAGGGACCTATCACCAGGCCCACCAATAGAGGGGCAGTTGCCCTGTGGCCATTCAAAAGAGCCCAGGACTCCTGGCCACTGCACCTGGAGCCCCAGGCCTTTAAAATTGCCTTTGTGCGGCTTTGAGGGCTGTGCAGGGTGGAGTGGAGTGCACTGCGGCCCAGGCCACACTGAGGGCTGCAAGCCCCACCCCTTCCACCTTAGGCCACGCCCCTTCTGGGAGCATGGAGCCAGGACCCCTCCTCCCACCTTGCCCAGGGGCCCGATGAGGCTGTCGGCTCCTCTGCCTAGCACTGATATGTTTTGACTCTTGCTTTTATAGTAAACGGGAGGGTCATGTGAAGATGTGGGAGCTCACTTGAAATTAGTGACATGGTTAAACAGCATTATACATGATAGAAACGTGTCCAGTTGCCTTTTAACTACCAGCCAGCCTGCGGGCAGAGGTATCGTGTGAGTGTTGGTTTGCTTTCTAAAGATTCAGCACTCCGTTTTGCTCTTTCCTGTTTCAGGCTGGAAGATCAGACCAAGAAACTGCAGAAGGACATGAAGAAAAGCACAGACGCAGATGTGGGTATGTAACAAGGTGCTGCACAGACTGAGGGGGGCATTAAAAGAGTAAGTGACCTTCTCAGGGCCCCAGTGGAAGTCTGGCGGAGCTGGAGACTGAACCCAGATGGCTTGAGTTCTAGTTTATTCCCTAGTAGAGGGGCGGCTGCCCCATTCTGGTAAGAGAAAGGTTAAAAGCAAGCTGGAGGGAGCCTGCACAAACCCATCCAATGGGGGTGTGGCTAGTGGCAGCCAATCAGGGCCAGGCTGGGCCCTATTAAAAGGCTGCAGGGGGGGAAACAGCTCACTCTGACCATGACCAGCGAAGAAGTAGGGAGGGATCCCAGGCTTGGCCAGTTCTCTGGTCCCATCCCAGCCACCCTCAAGTGGCAGCCTTGTCCTGCCCTCCTCCTCTCCCCTTGATTGCTCCCATTCCCTGGGCCACTACCCTGTGACCCTTGCACCTACTCAGCCCTTGTACCCAGGCCCACAGCCTGGGAGGGATCAGGCTGGACCTTTTCTCCAGCTCCCCTGAACATGCCCATGCCCAGCCTGCTCTTTTTTTAAAAAAAATTAATGGAGATTGCCTATCTCCTAGAACTGGAAGGTCATCAAGTCTACTCCCCTGCCTTCACAGCAGGACCAAGTACCATCCCTGACAAATATTTGCCCCAAATGGCCTCCGCAAGGATTGAACTCACAACCCTGGGTTTAGCAGGCCAATGCTCAAACCACTGAGCTATCCCAGGGTGCTCTCTCAAAAGTGCTGCTGGTTCCCTCCCCTACTGGGACCCAGCTCCTTCTCCCTTGCTGGCTAGGGCAAGAGTGAGCTCCCTAGCACTCTACAGCCTTTTATAGAGCCCAGCTTGGCCCTGATTGGCTGTTTCTAGCTGTGCCCTGATTGGCTGGGTTTGTGTAGGCTCCCTCCAGCTTGCTTTTAACCCTTCGCTTGCCAGAGCGGGGCAGCCACCCCATGACATCCCTTAACTACAAGACAGCCCTGTGGAGGGCTCCTGTTCTGTTACTTACCCACAGTGAGTCCACTGGCTGAGCCAAGAACAGAACCTTCTCTCCCCTGCCCCCCAGCTTGGCCAAGTCGCTTCACCTCTCTGTGGCTCAGTTCCTGCATTTAATAACCTGGGAGAATTCTCATTTGTGTTAAGGTAGCGACCGAAGGCCCCAGCCAAGAACGAGGCCCCCTGGTGTTGGTCACAGTGTCCGCACATAGCGAGAGAGATTGTGAGTGTGGCGGGTGCGTATTTCGTTTATATAACGTCACCAACGTAACGGTTCGCATTTGAGACGAGCCCTGCAAGCTCTGTCGAATAGCTGGCCTAAGCTCGCTGCAGTGGGCCACGTGGAAGCAATACCCAAGCAGGATCCATGTCACAGCCCCAGCTGTTTGCTTCTGCGAGTTCAGTGAGCGACATCTGCTGTACAGGTGCGCGTCCCTCCTGCACGTGGGGTCCTGGCTGCTCAGTGAGCAGCTGCTCCAGTAGGACTCCCTGTGAGCGCTTCCTGCAGTCCAGGCCCATGGGTGTAAGATGAAAAGACGAGGCCATCGAAAGGAAGAGGCGGCAGGGGATGTGGAGATCAGCGATCGCCAGTTACTGACGCGAGCTCGGCGGCCTTCTGGGACACGGGGGTGGAGCGTGTTTTAAACTGAGCTGGCTTTTTTGCAGCACAGAGTTTGGAGCAGTCTCTATTTTTATTGGCTCTGGGGGCGTTGGGAGCCAGGGTGAATTCCCTGGGAGGGCAGGTGAGGGCTGGCCCCGTCTCCACAAGCACCTCAGGGTGACTTGATTTATGAAGAGACGGGTATGCCGGAAAGAACCCACATTGTGCGGCCTGCCAGCGATGGGGCAGAGGATCCCCAGCTACACACACAGCACTGTCATCCGCACAAACAGCAACTGCTGCAGGAGAGCGCCTCTTCCAAGGGGAAGCTTCTCTCCCTGGGACGTTGTTCATGATCAGGGCTCCTCGGGTAAGATTTTCCTGGTAAAGGACTCCCCTCCCCTCCCTTCCAGTGGGTGTTTGTACACGGAGCATTTCAAGCCCCAGAGGAGCTGTGGGAGGACTCTCCTTTTCCGTTCTGCTTCATGGCAGAGTTGCAAATTAGCCCAGGCCCTGTCCAGATCCGGTGTGAGCTGATTTCTCATTTAAAGACATGAAATCCTGCACAAGGGGAGAATTTGAAACCTGGTGCCAGTGAATAAAGTGCCCCTGACCATAGAGGATGGAAGACAGATGCCTGAAGAGGCATTCGGGACCTCTGGAGGCTTCCCTCGCCCTGCAATAGCGGAGTAAAAGCGAGATGAAGAGATAAGTAGTTAGCAAATGTGTGGTTCCCACGTCCAGCAGAAGCCTGGCAGAGCATCATCTCTGTTGCTGTTCTTCCTAGTGTCTTATTTCTTCCATTGTATCTCCATGGTGAGGGAGTTGATTGTTCAGTCTGACTGTAAACATTCATTAGCATGTAGGAACTAGTCAGCCCTGGATGGAGCCTCCGTGTTCTGCCCACGATGGACACACACTCAGAACTAATTCATTTAATTCATTAACGGTGTAACCCAGGGGTGGCCAACCCATTCTGGGCAAAGAGCCAAGATATCAGTGGATCCGGCGCAAAGAGCCGGGGCAAAGTTTTCGAGCCAAAAAAAAAAAAAATGCTCTACCCCTTTAAGAAAACGTGTTTAGAGGCTTTTTGGCCACATCAGGCTCCCGCTGGCCGACACCATCTTTAATTCTCCCCTACCCAGGTCAGCACAGGGAGCCGGGAGGAGAGGGCTGTTTTTGGGAGTGTGGGGGCAACTTTATGAGCCATGCAAGGGGCTTTGCAAGCTGCACCCTGGGGAGAAAGCCGCATGCAGCTCACTAGTCACGGATTGGCCACGGCTGGGGGAAAATTTTTGGGGGGGGGGGAGCAGCTCCCTGTATACTGGCTCCTGCCTGCCCTCCTTTCCCCCTCCCCAAACTGCTGCCTCTGTGCCAGGGGGCAGGCAGCTCCCTGGGAGCCCAGGTGCATGGAGAGCCTGCATGTAACCATGACGGTTACCCGTGTACACCATTACACTTTCACATCCCTACTCAGAACTAAGCGGACACTTCTCAGCACACGTTTTCCTGGGAGCTGTGGGCACTGCCCTCTCAGCTTCAGCAACATGGCTGGGAAAGGAGATCCAAACCTCAGTACGAATCACTTGCAACACTTGCTGTGCTGTGATTAAGGGTCACTCAGCTTCTCCATCCCTTGCTCCCTTTCCTCAGGGGAGTTGGCTTTAAGGAGCGGGACTATTTTTAAAAACGTGGCCATCTAGCTGCAGTAAAAGTCCTCTCCTTTTGAAATGAAATCTAACTGCCTCCTTAGACCAGGCTGTCTGTCTCATGACATGGTAGCTTGGTCTTGCTTTGAATAACCAGCGATGGCCTAGGATCACTTTTTCTAATATTAATAATACTCAGCACTTTATGTTTGCAAAGTACCATGCAAACATGTATCCACTTCCTCGACAGAGAGAGCTGAGAAATGAGAATCTGCCTGACCATTACCTGCCATCGCTCACTATCCCAGTTGTATTTAGTCCCAGCTCTCTGCATTTTGGGGATACCTAGAAATTTCTTTTCTCACTGAAGCATTCTAGAGTTTTAACCCAGTCCTGTTTTGGCACAAATCCTTTCTCGGATGTGGTCTCACATGAGGTTTCTGTCCCATCTGCCTAAAGGTTTACATGTTTCAACCCCAGATGCTTTATTATTCCCTAGTGAGTGTCTCATTGTGGACTGAACACCAATTCGGAGCTTTCTGTATCGTTGTGTATAACTTTTAAATCAGAGCATTTAATCTCTCTCTTTGTGTTCTTAAGTTGCTGAGGATGACTTTAATTCAGACATTCCAAGTTTGTACAATGATTGTATTTAAACAGAACTACTGTACCAAAGAGTCTGGCCTCCCGATCCTTAACCGGAATAATTTACAGCAACATGATGGGAAAAGAGACACAGATTTCTAGATAGCTACAATGGTTTTACTTACGTGTTGGCTCTTCTGTTTTATTCATCTTCCTACGTTACATTCCAGTTATTTACTGTAAACATCATTGAGTTTGCTGTGGTATGAACTCCTCACTGGTCTTGTGTCCTGCCTTATCCTGCTGTTTGGGGAAGACCCACATCAGGGTCTTTGTCCTGAATTTTCTTCATTGAAAAATGAGGACAGTTTTTTAGAAGGGATGCTTGCAAATTGGAACAAAAGCAAAAAAAGGGCTTGATGCCTGGGTTCGGTGTTGGCTCACCTTAAATTCCAGGACTCTGTGGTGGCCAGTTCACAACTGCCATGACCGCTGGCCCTCTTGTTGGCAGTCTGCAAAGATGTGTGGAGGTGCGTGCTGAGAACCCGCTGTGGGTAAATGGTTCCCTCTGGAAGAAAATCAGGCTCATTGGTGGCAGGTTTTCGCTACTACTGATCATGTTGTACCTGTTTTGCAGTGAATAAAGATCTTTTTCCTCCACTTTTGTCAGTCTGGCCCCTTTCCCCCCAGCACTAAATCCACTTCAAATAGGTATTTTTGTAAGGCTTTTTCGGAAGACTTAATGGACTGTGGAGAACTACAGTGTGACAGCAGTGCTTAATAGTCTGTTAAAAAAGGCAGGTGTACACCCGAAATCAAAGAAGTGATCTACATTACTTTTAAAAGAAAGTCTTGTTTTTGTTAGTCTGGTATTATTTTCTGGCAGCGTCACATCTTGCATTTAAGTGGTCCACACTTAGCCTGTATAAAAAATATTCTCTCAGGGTAAGTCTACACAGAAATAGTCTTTTAAACTAACTGCATCTGCACAGCTGGTAGTTATTTTGACATACTGTCAACATACTGTCAAGCTGGAGGACTTCTTACTATGACTCCTGTAACCCTCGTTGTACGAGGAGGAAGGGGTGTCGGCGGAAGAGTGCTCCATTTCGAAATCAGTGCCGTGTAGACGCTCCCCTTGTTGAAATAAGCGATGCAATTAACAGAGCACAATTTGCGTGGCTTATTTCGAGTGAAGCCCTGCTGTGTACATGCACCCTCAGTGTTTACATCAAGAAATCATTCAACCCTCTCTTTTTATCTTCGCTCCCAGCCTCCAGCTTGTATCCCTGGAAAATGTAGGTGCTGAGCTGAGTGCCTGAAGGTTTAGATTTGTGTCCAGACCATACTTTCCAGAACTGGAGTAGTGAAGTAATTCCAGCAAGCCTGGATTATTTTGCAAGTACCCGTCCTGTTATGCAGCTCTTTGCCAGTGACGGTCCTTCTCCTCTTCTTTTCCATGCTCTTGGGTTCCGTTGTGCTGCAGCCATGTCAAAATCCGCCGTCAGGATCTCTTCCAACCTGTTGTCCAACCCTCTCTGTGAGCAGGACCCCAATTTCCTGGCGATGGTGACAGCCCTGGACACCGCCATGAAGAGAATGGACTCGTTCAACCAAGAGAAGGTGAGCGTGGGTTTGGCTGAAATGGGGAGGGGATGGTGATTTGTGGCGTGTGCATGTGGGTCTGCTCCATATAGATGAACTGCCCCCTGCCCCTTCCCTTTCTTCTCTCACCTTAGGAGGGTTCCCAGGTTAAGTTAGCATATGCTGGCACTCTACAGATGAGAAGAGCTGCATGAGCCTCCACTTGGAGCCATTCCAAGCTAGCCCGTAACTGACTAGAGGGAGTTCTATAGAGTCCCATGGGGGAGTTTCTTTCCTGCCAGTTTGCTGCCTTCCCAACATGCTTTGTCTTTGCCAGCTTAGAAGCACAGGACCAGAGCTGTTGGGCACCTTGAACTCAACTACCTGCCTGGTAGCAAGTTGTGCCACAGCTAGACCAGAACTCGCTGAGCGACAGGGGTGAAATAGAAGACATCTGGTGTGTCCTAGTGCTGCCAGCTGCACTGGAAACTTCATTCCCGCTCCTGCGCACGGGAAGGCATAGGGTGGGGATTAGATGCCAGGGACAACGTTGTTAATTTGTACTCTAGTAGCATTTCAAGGCCTGAGCCCTGGTGGGGAAGATGCTACACAAACAGGCTTATTTGTTTGTGACAATCTCTTTTCTTCCAATAGGTGAACCAGATCCAAAAGACAGTGATAGAGCCCTTGAAAAAGTAAGTAACAGCATTTCCCTACGAGCAAAATCGAGAGCTCTTAGTAACCATGTTCCTTAAGGACAAACATCATTTACCCCTCTGATATTTAAAGCAGTGGATTCCAAACTTTTCGGCATCACGCCTCCTTTTTGATTTTTGAGAAACCCTCACGCCCCCTCTCCCAAAAAAATAGCAGCAAACTTGGGGTGCTATTGACTTGGGGTGCTTGGGGGGTGTGTGGCTGGGTCGCCTACCCCTCCCCCCCAGAATTTCTTCACGCCTCCCCTAAGGGAGCACGCCCCCCAATTTGGGAACCCATGATTTAAAGGAACAGAGTCAGGTTTAAAGTCATAGTCATTCCTAAAGCAAATAGTCTTTCATCCTCCATACGAGCAGGTCCCATCCCTATTTTTAGAGCCCGCATCTGTAACTGCAAAAATGAGCTGTGGATATCTGCGTCGACACCTACAGATGTGGAGACCCATGAATATATCTGCAAATGTGCAGGGTTCTAGATACAAAATATGTATCCACAGCCATAGCCACAAAAGGAGCTGTGGATATCTTCATCTGAGACCCACAGATATAAAGTGGTGATCCGCAGATTTACAAGGCTCTACCTATTTTACAGTGAAAAGAATGAGGCATGGGGAGGTTAAGTTCAGACTGTTAACCTGTGGCTCAGCTAGAAAGAGCCCAGATCTTTTAGTTCCTGATCTTGTACTTCAGCACTTAACCATGTTTCACCTTTTGACGTTAAAAACTGAAAGCACTTAAACACCTAGCCTGTCTCTAGGCTGTTGGTTACTTGATGAATTTTGCTGGGCTTGAAGAAGGAAAACGGACTAGTCAGTTTCATCTGATTTCGTATCCGCTTCCATCTCTAGTCCTTAAGAAGCTGCAATACAATATAATGCATTGCTTCTGCTTGGGGGCTGCAGACGCTAGAGTGAATGTTTCCTTTGCTAATTTAAAAAGGGGAATTTACAGAATTTTGTTCCTTTTAGTTTTTGTTAAAGGCATTTTTTCAAAACCTAAATTTTAGGCTAGGTTTGACCTGCCGGTGTCCCTGAAATGTAGTCAAGGAGATGCTAGGAAGTAAAGACCTCACAAAGAAATAGACTTGACCAGACGACTCAGAATCAGATAAAAGCCTTGAGGGATCTGAGTCTGTGACGCATCGCAAAACCGTTCCACCAAGCCTTAGCTGGACTGGTGGATTCCCATGGGGATTTTGGAGCTGAGTCAGTGTTCAGTGCTCACCATGGAGGCAGGGGTCTAATAATGAATCCATTTGCACAGAAGACACCCACTGACTTATTTTCTGTAGACAGTTTCCTTTATAGCGGGAAAAGTATCCTACGCACCTCGGACCATGAGTCACCTGCCCCTCTGCTGCCACAGGAGGGCGCTGAATTTGGTGATGTTTCTTCCCATGGGCTGTGGAGTTTACATGAAAAAGCGGGTCTTCCTAGGAGTGGTTTGCTCTTCTAGCGCCTGATTCTGCACCCACTAAATCAGTGCCGGAATTTCTGTTGGCTTTTCAGTCCAAGGTCAGACGCTGAACATGCTGGTCTGCAGTCACACGTACTTGAAATGTTGGTTCCTTTACATCAGGGCTACTCAGCACGTGGCCCGCGGGTGGGAGCCAAAACAAAAAAGTAGTCAATATAATGTTCTGCTGCTGACATGCGTTTTAGTAGTTCAATTCCTGGACTGTCATTGCTCATTAAAAGTGCTGTCATATGGGTAGAAATCGGGTCAATATTGCATTTTATTAATATCAGCAGAATGGACTTAAATGGGGCCTGCGTGTTGTGTAGGCTTGCCTTAATCTTTGTATTCTTGCCCATCAGTGTGAAAAGCTATTTGCATGTGTATTTGCATGTATATGCAACCACGCTTAAGTTGCGGCACTCAGCATGTGCTGTGAGTATCATTGTGGCCCCCGGGGCCTCCAAAGTAGAATAGTCCTGCTTTACATTGAGAATACCACTTTCCCTGTTGCAGGATCACTGCATTTCCCTCCATGCCTTGTTAACGGCAAGGAGCTAACACCTGCCTTACAATGTGTCTTAACCCACTGATGTAGATGTCTCGGTAGGGATCTTGTCATCAATGGAACTCTTAAGTGTTCACGTCTCCTATTCCTGTGCAAGTCCCACCAGAGTCGGCAGGAACTGAGAGATTTAGAGATGATGCCCCTACTAGTTAAAGGAGACTTGAATTTAGTGCAGCAACGTATCTTCAGAAGTCTCTAGATTCTCTCTTTTATTGCGAGGAGAGAGAGTATGAAACGAAAATCAGTTGACTTTAATAAGACAGTAAGTGATGCAAATTGCTGAATAACAATTTTAGTTCACATTTGACATCTGGGATTTTTTTTGTTTGTTTAATCCCAAGTCTGAAAGTAAATCAACATATACAGCTCTGTGCACAGGGTTGCCCTTGATTTTTAACGTGGGGTACGGGTTGACATGATTTTTGCTTTTATCGTTTACATTATCACCACATATTATTAAAAAAAAACCTTCTATGGTGGAATTGTGTTGCTTATTAGCTAGATAGTCCTCGTATGAAAGATACGGCAACTTTGTCTTTGTCTGTTAAACCCATCTCACTGAATTGCCAAGAAATAGATCTTTAGCTTCAGCTAGCCAGGTGGGTTCCACGTGACTGTTTTTGTTCTATGTACAGCACCTAGCGTAGTGAGAGTCTGTTCCAGGCCCAGAGCTCGTAGACACTAAAGTACTGCAAAGAATAAATAGTCCCATATGCACACAAGAAAGATTCCTCTCATCCCACCTTGCTTCCCGGCAAAGTCGATTCAGGCCAAGTCGTTATTTGGGTGCAAGATTTAGTGGCATTCCAGAATCACTGTGAAAGCAGCGCTGGCGATTCAGCTGCTGTTCTTCCTTTGGCCCCTGGTGTTGTGGTGGTGAGCGCTGTAGAGTGCTGAGATGGAAAACTCAATTCCTGAACACTGGTCACTAAAGCAGGAGTCCTGCACTTGGGACGGAAGAATCCCAAGCATTGTTACAGGCTGGGGACCGAGTGGCTAAGTAGCAGTTCGGCAGAAAAGGCCCTGGGGATTCAGTGGATGAGAAGCTGGATAGGAGTCAACAGGGCGCCCTTGTAGCCAAGAAGGCGAATAGAATATTAGGTTGCATTAGGAGCGGCATTGCTAGCAGATCTAGAGAAGTGATGATTCCCCCTTTATTTGGCACTGGTGAGGCCACATCTGGAGTATTGTGTCCAGTTCTGGGCCCCTCCCCCCACTACTGAAAGAATGTGAACGCATTGGAGAGGGTCCGGCGGAGGGCAAACAAAAGGATTTGGGGGCTGTAGCACATGACCTATGAGGAGTGGCTGAGGGATTTGGGCTTATTTAGCCTACGGAAGAGTGAGGGGGGATTTGAGAGCAGCCTTCAACTCCCTGAAGGGGGGCCCAAAGAGGATGGAGAGAGGCTGTTCTCAGTGATGAGGGATGGTAGAACAAGGAGCAATGGTCTCAAGTTGCGGGGGGGGAGATCTAGGTTGGATATTAGGAAAAACAATTTTCCTAGGAGGGTGGGGAAGCACTGGGCTGGGTTCCCTAGGGAGAGGATGGAATCGCCATTCCTAGAGGTGTTTTAAGTCCCAGCTTAACAAAGCCCTGGCTGGGAGGATTTAGTTGAGGTTGGTCCTGCTTTGAGCTGGGGGCTGGACCCGATGACTCCTGAGGTCTCTTCCAGCCCTGGGATTCTATGATGTACCCCAATGTCCTGGCAACATGTTCCAGCTTTGGTGAGACGCATCTGTCTCCTTACATGTCCCTGGTATTTGGATGTGCCCTTCTCAGCTGAGCACTGTTGCAACAAGTTCTAAACCAGCTCCGGTTTCATGCCGGTGGTGGCTGCATTTCAGTGGTGACCAGTAACGACTCGTCTGCTAGCCCTGTGTCTAGGCATGCGTGAGTGCAGGTACAGAACATGCATCTATAATTGCTGCAATGGGTACAATTTGTAAAAAGCCTTGGGGCTCCATTTGGATAATAACGAGATGCTCTCTGGAAATACAGCCATCTACCCTCTCCTTGGCCTGCTTGCCGAGAACTCCAGTAACGCTTGTGGGATAAAACTAAAGATTAATTAAAGCTGCCTTGGAGGATCCTCTTCTCTGTTCATTTCAGTATTGTTTCCCCTGGTATTGCCTGTTCTGCCTGGCCTCTCCCAAACTTGCTTTGACCTAGAAACAGGCTTTGATTCAACAGCTGTGCTTTATTACTTCTCCACTGGTGGTCTTTTATAGCTTATTAGCCAAAGACACAGATAAGTAGAATGCAGGCATTATATTAATGGTAATATATTGTAATCAGAGACACATGTGTCATAAAATCTCCATTCCGTAGTCCAGCGATACAAGGTTTCAGTAGGCTATCAGCCACGGGAGGAGTAACTATCTCAAAAAGGCAGCAGCGTACTCAGGGGAAGGCTCCATCATTCCGATCTCTGCTTACGGCTGCATTAGAATCGTGCAGTCTCTTGCTTTTGAAATGGTGACAAACTTATCGCTGGAAATCCCTCGTTTAATTTCACTGAGTCAGCGAAGTTCTAGGTAGCCTGTGACACTAGGTTTTCGGTGGGGTCTGGGCATAGACGTGACTGGAGAGGTCTGGGCTTTACTTGGGAGCTGCCTGTGTAAATTCACACTAGATCAGTTCAGTGAAAAAACAGATGCTTTTTACTGCTCTCTGTAGCTTCCAGTTCTGGCTACGTTCCTCTTGTCCCTTGGGTGAGGATTGAGTTGCGTTGGCTGGACTTGGGGTTGGTGATGGACTGTGTACTTTGCCGTTGATAATTACATCTTATGTATCAGTATTTAGGGAGGAAACTGTTTAAATGAGCCAGGAGGTTTGAAGATTCACTGACTTTAATGCCTTTCACGTTTGGAGCTGTGGGTTCCCATCTGATGTTCGTTGCAAGGGGATCTTGATTTAATGATTTGAGCCACCCTGTTTGTCAAGCTACCTCAGGCCA